GATTTTTTTATTCAAATGAAACTATTCTTATGTTCACCACCCCGTTTCCTATTTGATGGTTGGTGAATGCTGTTTTTAAATTTGTATGTTCAACTATGTTGTGTTTGACGCAAGTCCTAAGGACATTCAAACAGTGTCTAGGACATTTGTGTTTTCCCCATGTAAAGATCTAGGCCAACTTACCAGACCTAACCGGGTTGGATTTCAATAACGTTAGTCTCCAATTTCTGACAGAACCATGCATAGGCCAAAGGGACCCATCAACCCCTCTTTATCTTTATGAAAAACTCTATAACCCACTTCGGTATTCAAAAAATCATATTCTTCCACATAGATTAAAAAAAACTACATATATGCAAGTGATGTTTCGCTTGATGTAAAAAAACCTTATCGGGTTGACATTTAATAGTCAAGTAGAAGGTTTAACCACATGGATGAGTGTTGCTCTTACATACTAATACATTTGCTTGGGCGGGTATCATGACAAAATAAAAATAAAAAACAAGTAAAATTGCTACAAAATCAAGCAAAAAATTTGATTTATATGATATCAAAATGAGTAGGCCAGAGTGCCAAAAAAATAGAATGAAATTAAGTAACTAAATGATGTGGCAATATTGACTATGCAACAAATTCAGACAAAAATTTAAAAAAAAAATCCTAAATCAAATTAAAACAGAATTTAAAATTATTTTTTAGATTTTTTTGAACCATATTACTTATTAAACATCGGTTATTATTACCGATAACTTGTTGGATATTCTACATGGACGATCCCAAATTCATTGTCTCAAACGTTTCTTCCACCATCCGACCGTGGTTTTTAATTTTCTTATCACAAAATTTTTATTTTAGGAATAATTTATTGGTGAGCAGTTTCAAATTCCAATCATGTTTTGGTAGAAGTTTTAGTCAAAAAAATTTACATTTTGCCTCTAGTGTAAGATATAAGCAGATGTTGATGTTGCGTATTGCCTTCATCTCAATTACCTTGTAGTGTTCGTTAGACAATGAATTTCAACTTCTTTGGGATATGAAGTCAACATGGCTAACACCTGCCATACTAATTAGTTAGCGCATGTTAAATGTACAGTGTTATCTCTCTTAAAATAGAAGGTCTAATAGGGTAGACAGAAGTAGAACTTGTATATTGACATCGAAAATTATAATTTTTTAAGATAAAATTACTATTTTTTTGAGATGTAAGTTACAATTTCAAAAGACATTGACCGATCATAGAATGTTATTATCGATACCGTGTTTTTTATGATAAATCATAACCTCCCTTGAACAGTTATAAATTCTCCTTTTAAAATATTGATTTTACCATACAAAATAGTAATCGGCGATACTAATACCAATTTTTTTTTTTGATACCGTATGGTTTCCCAAAAAGATGAGTAATGAAGTGATTTTATGAAGTCCATTGAGTATTTTTAGTACTTTTTTCCTTAAGTGGTGTTTCTTTGTACTTCCACGTTAAGTAAGACTAGCTGACTTTTCACTTCATGGTGGCATTGCTTCTAAGATTAGACGAAATATTCCAAATCACTCCGGTTATACCTCCTAATATTTTAAACAAGTCATGTGCTTATAATATTTTGGGAGAATTACGTTTAAATTTTTGAGATTTGTCATTTAATTATTTAGACACTCAACACTTAAAATATTAAACACAGACTCCCTGAGATTTGTACGGGCATAACACTTAAAACTTTGTCTCTAATATTCGTTAATAAATTACACTTAAACTCCTAAATTTTGTAAAAATATAATTCTTAGACCTCTCAAGTTTAAAATATTATACTTAAACCATTTATTAATTATAGAACTAACGAAACCTAATATAGACAAAATCATTCCAATTAAAGATAGATGATATTATATCCATTACGGTTTGACCTCTTGTTTAATTTTTTAATTTTATTTTAATAAATGGTATAATTATATACTAATTATAATTTTTTTTTAAAAATATTAAATTTTTATTTTTGATTTTATTTAAATAAATGATATAATAGAACATGAATTTCGATTGTAAAATTTAAAATATTTGATATTCTATCTTTAATTGAAATATTTTTTGGCTAATTATAATATTTTAAACTTAGAGGGGTCTAAATATTACATACCTAAAAATTTTAGGGGGTCTAAGTATAATGTATTAACTGACTGATTAACGACATTGACGACAATAGTTTAAGTGTTACGCGTGTACAAATTTTAAGGGTCTGTGTGTAATATTTTAAATATTAAGGGATCTAAATAATTAAATACAAATTTTCAAGGGACATGAATGTAATTCTCCTAACTTTTTTGACTTTCTTGGGATATGGCCCCCAAAACATATTCCATGCAATCCGGCAACATCAACAGAAGCATCTCAACATTGCGTAGTGGTAAAAAAAAAAGTGGATACAATTATTAGCGGAGAATCATTGACTTTTGGTTTGATTATTTTATCATCATTAATTATAGAAATAATAAAATAATATGAAATAATAGCATAAATTTTTTTGCCTATGTCAAATTTTAATAGATAAAAATAGAAATATGGTATCGTAATAAAATAATAAAATAGAATGTTTTACACATAAGAGAGTTAATTTCATAAACGATACGTTAACCCAATACAAAATTATCAAGTTAAAGTTTTTCAGTTCTCCACATTAACAAAAAAATGTCACGACATGTTAACATAAATAATAAAATGAGTTGAATTAAAAGTCAAATAAAATAATTCAGAATTGATACAAATGAACTTGTTTAATTGATGTTGCATGAATAAAATGACAAATTTTTTGATAATTTCTTATCAAGTATTGAAATAAATTTATATAAAATAAGATTATTTTTATTTACTTTTAAATTATACATTATTAACTTGGGTTTATTTGAGAAGTAATGAAGTCTTAATTTAAATTTATGAAAAATTATACTTAGGCCCCTTGAGATTTATCACTTAATCACATAGACTCCTGATATTTAAAATATTACATATTCTCTATCGCTATTGTCTGTTAGTAAAATTACACCCACACCCTTGTATTACACATTCTCTACCGCTAATGTTCGTTAGTAAAATTACACCCAGACCCTTAAAATTTGAAGTACATAATATTTGGACTCTTCAAGTTTAAAATATTACACTAAGACAAATTTTTTTTAATAAAATATCAAATATTTTAAATTTTACAACTAAAATTCATGTTATATTATGTCATTTATTGAAATATAAATTAAAAAAAACTAATTTTTTTTAAAAATTATAATTAATACTGTTGATGCCAAAATTTAGATGACCTATACGCCAATTTGTTGAATTTTGATCACTTGAAATGGAAGTCAAAGACCGAAGGAAACTGGAAGTTGACTCTTCAATACCTAAGTCAGTAAGTGATTAACATATGAAAATAATGCATAATTAACACATTTGCATGTTTCATTATATCATCAATTGCCATAAAACCTAAACAAAATTTTATTTTTTTCAGGAAAAAATAGTAATGAATATGAATATATCAAAAAATTCAATTTAACACTCATTTACATAAAATTATACTGTCTATTGGACTTAAACTAAAAAAATCAAATAAAGGGTCAAACTGTAATAAATACATTTAATAAATTTCATTAGTTTTGTAACTAATAAGATGTCTAAGTATAATATTTTAAATTTAAGAGGTATAAATGTTATATATTTATAAACTTTAAGAGATCTGAATGTAATTTATTAATAGATTTATTAACGGACATTACGACAGAGGTCTATGTGTTACGCATTTATAAATTTTAGACTGTTTGTGTATACTATTTTAAATATAAGGGGATTTAAATGATTAAGTGATAAATTTTAAGAGATTTGAGTATAATTTTTGCTTAAATTTACCCAAACATGAAAAAAATAGTAGACAGACCGGATTAATTTTTTATTTTTGAAATGATTAATTAATAAATTGTGTTAGAAAAATAAACAATACCAACAGGATTGACGCGATACAATTATCACAGTCTATGTGCACGTGTTAAAATTTGATTAGGTTAAAAACAGAATAAAGAAAGAAGGTGCCGTTAGTTAATAAAGGCGGGATGATGGTTTATCTTTTTAATTAATCAAGTTTAAATAACATTTTAAGTTTAAATAATATTTTTGATAGAAAAAACGCATATCCAATGAGAATGAATCTCTAATATAAAATAGACTCATCCAATTCCTCGCATTCATATTATTATTGCACATACCGTGATAAGATAAAGTCTGCATTAAGTGTATACAACAACCACATATGTCCGTGGACATACAGTCCACCAAATAAACCTCGAAAATGGGGATGCATTGGTCATCATCCTCTTTATAATAACAAATAAGTAGTAGGAAGAAGCAACTCATACTGGAGAAGCAGAAGCTCTCGTCTTTTCCTTCTGGGCATCAGATTCTCTCTCTCTTTGTCTCACTCACATGCACATTCATATTCATACCCATTTCGCCATTCGGGGTCCGGGGTTCTGGATCTGAAGTTTTTGGTTCACATACATTGTACAAAGAACCACCCACTTTCTTCAATTTGTATAGGTATGTATGCTGTTGTTTTCTCTATGTGAATTTTTCTTCATTGATTGCATTTTATGCAAGTTGTGGGTGTGCCTGCTTTTACACTTTTCCTTTAACTATGCAAGAAAGCAATGTGGCCTTCCTTTTTCTCAGTAACGAAACAAACAAAAAAACAAGAACAGGGCTGTACATGCTCATTTAAAGCTTTCCTAGTTTGTTCTACGGTAATTCTTTTGAAGAATTGTGAGATTCAAATCACAGAAGTTACTATAATAACAATGTTTAAAGTCACAAAAATTTTCCTATTGGCTTCAATTTTGTAAGGGCCTTCCCCCAAGTGCAAACATATTGGGATTTTATTTTGCTCACTGCTTCTTCAAACTTCCTAATTATAATTGGGCATAAATTCTTAATTTTCTTGTCTCACTTTGCTTGCTAGAGTTTTGTGATGGGGAAGGTAGGGGTTGAAAGCTTTTTCCTTGGACTTTTGCTTCAAGTCCTTGTGGTATCCGCTGCTGATATTAAGCGCTTGAACATATGGCCAATGCCAAAGTCGGTGAACCATGGACATGGGAGTCTTTATCTAAGTAGCAATTTTGAGCTCAAGACTGAAGGAAGTAAATACCCTGATGCTTCTGAGATTCTGAAGGACGGATTCTTGAGGTTACTTGCTACCATCAATGCAGATCATGTTATTGACGGTGACTTTTCCCATTTTGATTCTTCTGTCTTCCTACGGGGAATTCATGTAGTTATCCTTTTGCCAAATGACGAGGTATGCTTGTATAAACTTGGAGTCATGTTTCTAATTCTATAGCACAAAGATGAAATAAAAGAATGTTTACGGCTGTGTGTATATGCCTGTCTTATATCCGTCGTTTATCTTTTCATATTAGTATATTTAGTACAAGAATTCAGTGTTGAGGTATTGAACTTTTATTTTTCTTCAGAAAAAAATCAAGTTTTGTTATAGATATGTTGCATTATACAAGATTGTCAAATTGAAAGTAATTGCTTCTCCAAATATCCTTGCCCATGTTAATATTCTTGACTGTCACAAGAACTTGGAATTTGGCATTTCTCTGAGGGAGAATGATGCACTCACATTGTTTCTTTTTCCCCTAAATGGCATCGAAGAAGCACTGATGAAAATTTGTTATCCTAGAACATATAATATTGGTCTGCACTTCGGTTTTTTTGGCTCCTTGTAAATGGTAAGTGCATAGTGAGGATTTGACTGTTTTTTTAGGTGCTACGAGGTTTTTATCAAAAATATAATTCGTAAGTATAAGTGGAAAATTTGACTAACGTCCCACCACTTTAGCTTATTTACAGGTTTTATTTGACCTGTTTTGTCATTGAAAATCATATTACAAAATTTCATTTGGCCATGGCGTGTCACCTTAGGTTCATCTAGTCTCTCTTCAGTTGAAATCTTGAAGTCGTGGCTTCTTGCTGTTGCCTGCTTTATATTTCTTTCAGCTTAGGACAGGGAGCTTTCTGCCGCGAGACGTTTGAGTCTATTGGTTTGTTTATCATTGCTACACATTGTCCTACCCGCTGCATGCAATTTGGAAAGACTGATTCGCCTGATCAAATCGGTTTTTCTTGTTTCATGCTTGCAATGCTGAATTTCATCTCTGAAAAATTTCATTTGCTGTGCAGTTACAGCATGGTGTTGATGAGTCATACAAGTTATCTATCCCTGCGGATGGCAATCCAGTTTATGCACATATTGAGGTGGGCATAGCAAATTGTTTTGGATCTGTATGTTTGCACCATCCATGTACCTTTTTCAGTATCAATTGATAGGTCAACTAAATGTACTTCTTTGATATTGCATGGTCATGTTTCTTCTTATTGTTACGTCTCTGCAAGTGTAGCATCAAAAGTAGACTGGACTTCGTTCGATATTTTTCTGAACTTTTTCATTTGAACAAATTTTGTTCTATATGTTCAGATCAAGGTATCAAACTTATCTGTCTGTCGTATCATGTAGAGCATGTTAATCAGAAGACAAAAAATGGGTCTATTTATGATGTTCTTTGCACTTGCATAAATTACCAAGTTCATGTGCATAAATTTTTTATGTCAAGCTTTGATTGTTATACAATGGCATTCTATTTGGACTTAAAAACTTTAAAATTACATAAAGTAGGTGGCTCTCCATAATAAATTAACTACTTTTGAAGTCTTTAATTCCTTAATAGAACTAGCAACCAAAACAAATATATACCGAACCATTTTGGAACTTCTCTTTTTTTTTTTTTTTTTGGAATATTGAAAAAATGAAGTTTGAAATACTTTGTAGCTAACAAATTCATTAGCCCCTTTTTGGTTTCTCCAATAGCATGCTCGGGAAGGATTCCTTCCCTTGCAAATTCAAACTAGTATATTCTCAGATGAAAGCTGTCTTCTATGGTTGTCATTGTGGGCGACTGTCTGAGACTTTGTTGTGAGGATAAGTGAAATCACTTCAATAGCATTTCTATTTGTTCTGAACATGATTCTGTGTCTGAACTTCACAGTTTGCACCAACATTCAGGATCATGTTGGCGATGAAGGAGTGCTTGTGTATCTGTAAAAGGGGAAAACAAATGAACTGACTGGTTATTCGTAGCAGGGATACGAGCTGTTTAGCATGTTGCCTAAAAGAAATACTATTAAGAAAAAACTGAATGCTGAATGGTTGAAGTGCTAATTGATAATTATTTTTGAAATCGTATAAAATGAAAATGTTGTATACCTAGTGTTAAGTTTATTGATATAGTTTTCTAGGGAGTTTTTGTGCTTATATTATTCCTGTTATCCTCTAATTTTTTTGACTTTTCTGATAAATACAATTTCAATGCAGGCACAAACGGTTTATGGAGCTCTACACGGACTGCAGGTTACATATTCTATCTCATGGCACTGATAGAAGTTGCAGTTTTTTGATTATAGGGAGAAACAATTACATCTTGCTATGTTTGTTTTGGTATGACATTTTACAGACATTCAGCCAAGTCTGCTTTTTTAACTTTACCACCAGATTAATTGAGGTTCGTCAAGTCCCATGGACCATTATCGATCAGCCAAGGTTCTCTTATCGAGGGCTTCATATTGGTGAGATGCCTTTTCATTTTCCTTACTAATGTAGCTATACTGGATTTTTTTTTTGATGACACATTAAACTTTGAGGAATTGAGTTTGGTCGTTTAACTAAATACTTTCCCAACAGCAACATTCTCAGAAGGTGCATTACTGTCATTTATGTAAAGATGAGAATTCATGATTGGGTGTTGAAATTCTAATCAGCTGAGCACCAACTGCTGCCAGCCATTGATTAAATAACATGTCGATATAGAGTTCAGTTTAGACCCATTTTGACGATGCGCAGAAATTCCAGACATTATTGGTCCATATCATTTATTTTTCAAATCCTGCTTTTTCGATATAGCATAACTAAATTCTGACATATGCACTGCTGTATAAGAAATAAAAATAACATTTATGCAACACATATGAAGATTTGTTTCAGCTGTTACATAAGAATTTTTGGTTCCTTGGTACATAATAAACTACCCGTCATTTCTGACTCTGAAGTTTATGGCTTCCTTTGTCTATTTTATTCCAAATCCTGGCCCACTGATTAATCTCTATATATATATACACTAAGATTAACGCCACCTGTGAAATTGTACTAGATGTATTCGGTTCCATTGTATTGAATTTTAATTTCTTTCTATGACCTCTCAGTTTCATCTGTGTGGCTAATTTCTAATTTCTTGTATTGTTCTAGATTATATTTTAGTTATCCAATAAGTCTTTTTTCTATGCTAACATATAAGATGAAGCATGAGCCTAAAACTCAGTTTGTGGATAAATTGCAATGAGGTCTTAGTCCTATAGTTAAATTATCTGAAAAGCTGAAATGTTGGGATGCAGTATTGAAGAAATGCCTTTTCGTTAATTTTCAATCTTGGCTTCTCTTATTCTTATTATATCAGTTGGAAAAAAATCTTCTTTAGATGCTAATGTTCTTGTTCTAACTTTTATACATGGTGCAGATACATCTCGGCACTATCAGCCATTACCAATGTTAAAGAAGGTCATTGATTCTATGGCATACACAAAGTTGGTATGTGATGCAGACTTCATGTGTTTACACATAACTTGATGTGCACAGTATTGTTTTCTATGCTAGTTATATTTTGGGCTGGCCCAAGCCAAATGGAGGCCCTAGGTGAAATTTTTGGATGAGGCTCCATTAATTATGATTATTATGATTAATTTGAAAACAAAAACTCTTATTTTTTAGAGTTTTCTTATATTAGAACTCTTTCTCTTTTTCTCTCTTTACATCTCATATATACACACACATATACATAACTAAATTCAAAACTTAAATAAATTTTAAATTTCTTAATTTGAATTCTTTTCCAATTCTTTCTAAAATTCTTAAATTTTAGGATTTTCTTATATTAGAACTATTTCGTTCTCTCTCTCATATATATATATATATAAATATATATCTATAATTGTGACCAAAATAAAGCTAATGTAAAATCAAAATTCTTTAATTTTAAATACTTTCTAATATAAGGACTATTTTTCTCACTCTATATATATTTTGTGACAAAAAAATTGTGACATATACCGTAACGCCAATGTCACACTGCTTGTAAACTATATATGCAGAGTTGAGCCATTGTGGACATTATAATGTGATATCAATATCCACTGTATACACACAACATATACAGGTTTTGACATATGGATAGTACCACAGTGTGACCCAGGGATTGTCACACTATGGATATCACAAATGTGGCATTAATGTCACATTGCATATAGATACCATATACAGGGTTTGGACATAGATGGTATCACATTGTAACTCCAATATAACACTTCATACACACATCACACATACATGTGTGAATCACAGTGTGAATTCAATGTCACAATGCAACTATACATCATATGCATTATTTTTTCATAGTGTGGGGCATTAAAAGTGTGACTCCAATGTCACACTACAAAACAAACTATGTTTTACACAGGGTGGGTATCACATAATGTGACTTAATTGTAACACTGCATAAACAGAAAGAGGAAAAAAAGGGAGAGAAAGAATAGGGAGAGGAGAGTAACAATAGGAGAGAGAATGAGTTTGAGAGAGAAAATGTTACACCCCAACTCCAAAGGCATGACCGGTCGTGAACCATAGATCCATAACCTATAAAACACGTAAGCCTAACAATAAACTAATAATATAGGAGTGAAAAATAACATTAGCACTAAATTGATCTCATGTCAATATGTTAAAGTCAACATACCTAAACCTGTTTACCCTAATTATCCAAACAAGTAAAAAGGACTATACGATATATACTACGGAGGTCACAACACTATTAGTCTCCAATCAATTCCCTGAGTCCGCTATTGACACTTCAATCGTTTACCTAAAAAAATATTATTTTGAAAACATGAGCTAAAAAAGTCCAGTGAATAGAAAGACATGCATATTCAAAGTGGTTGAAAAACAGATTTGGCATACGACATGTAAATCAAAGATTTGAAAAAATAACTTTATCAAGATAACCAATTTCTCAAGAATAACACAATCAAATTTCAACAAAAAATCATACCACAATGGCAAATCATATCATAATGGTGGAGACTGTACGATATCTAATAATCGATGGGAACCAAAGATCAAATGCCAGAATATATCTCAGGGTTGGATCTAACATCGTACTTAGGTTCACCACGGGTTAGTGCCCAGGAATTGTTCCCTAAGACGATTCGGCGAAGGTCACCAGGAAGCACCAGGCACTGTTACTTTAACCGTTGAGCACTAGGGTCACCTCAGCCTCTCCCGGGTCTGTTCCCTAGTGGCTAGAGTCACCCGCACATAGAGGAATAATTTTCATGGACTTTTAATTTTGGTCCCATTCACCATCACTAAGTCTCACCATATAAACAAGTAATTGAGTCACAATACTTTACAAAAGAATTCATCAAAGCAAGGAGAATCATATGCCACAAGTATTTAGATACTTAGTAAAATATTTTGTAAAGGTAGTAATGAACAAGCATGATGTATTGTTTTAAAAATATTTAGGGATATTGAAAATTTTCGAAAATACATAGCATATCAAACCATTCACCTTAAGTCTAAAGAGAATGAATGATATGCTTCTTGAGTGTTGCTTGTTACCCGAAGTAGAGTGAGATGTTATTGATGCCTTTTTTTTTCTCACAATTTTCCTTTGATGAAGTGCTCTTCCTTCCTTCTTCTCTTTTTTACTCTCTATTCTTTCTTGAAAGTGGAAGACTACTTGTGCCCTAGTATCCTTAATCCAATCCCCAAATGCCCTATTTATAGGCATCCTAAGATTACTCTAGAGAATATTGACATGTGACATTTTTAGGAGAGATTCCCTAGAATATTCTATCATCTCCCCTCTCCCATCTCCTAGATCCTTCTAGGTTTCCAACTTATTTTGTACATGACAATTCCACAAGTATCTAGATTCATCTATAATATTCTAAAGTCTTCTCCAACCTTCTAAATCCTTTTGAAACTTTCTGCAACATTCTAAATCTCCCTAGAACCTTCTAGTATTTCCTAAAACCTTTTAAAACATTCTAGACTTCTCTAGATTGTTCTAGAACTTTCCGGATTCTTCTAGAAACTTTTTCAACATTCTAGATTGTTCTAGACTATTCTAGGTTATTCTTGAACTTTTTAGAATCTTCTAGACTATTCTACATTTTTCTAAAAATTTATCAAATATTCTAGATTATTCTAGACTATTCTAAATTCTTATTTAAAATTTTTCTTATTCTTTACAAGATAATATTTCTAACTGGTTCCTTGCCAAATTGGAACGGAGTATTACAGAAAATAGAGGGAGAAAGAGAGAAAATAGGGAGAAAGAGAAAAATAGTGATAAAATAGGGAGAGAAACGCGTTTTCACATCTTAACCCGAATTGGTTGGGGGGAGGAAATGTTTCTTTTTTTGAGGGTACTCTCAAGAATAGATCCAGTGGAGACGGGGTGGGGCCAGTAGCTCAGAGGATTAGAGCACATAACTACGAACCAAGTGTCGGGGGTTTGAATTCCTCCGCACCCATAATCAGCCCAAAAAGGGAAGGACTTTTCCCTTAGAGATATTAATAGTGAGAGTCAGATATAGAGAGAATAAGAAATCTTTTAAACTAATGGAATCATTTCAAAATTCAAACGGTTAATTATCCTTTAATTTAGGAAACCACTTAGCCATTAAAATAGAATCAAAATAATAAAAAAATTGTCTCAAGAAAATAGAAAATTGAATTCCACAATTAATTGCATAACTTATCGTCCACGAAAAAAGAAAAATGAATTTTACGTAAATGAAATATTTTAAAAAAAGCCAAAGTGTATCTGTTCACAAAATATTTACACAAAAAAAGATTTATACACAAAAAATTTATATTAAGGTACTTCCTCACAAATAACTAGTGTATATTGTACCTTTTCACAATTTTTTCAAATATTAAAACATATTTGTTTAAAAAACAATTCTTGTTATTTGAGATGCCAACTTATTATTTAAATTTATGTATTCAAATTCTTTAGCATATCATTTACATTTGTAAAATTAATTCAAGGATTAATAGTCAATAGAATAGTAAGATAGTAGATTTGAAGTTCAATACTAGACACTCTAGTGATATTTATAATGTCATGACAATAGAAAGAAGCTTCCATAGTCGATTTCTTTGAATTGTCTGTACTCCAAAAACAGTATTCAGATTTCTAAATCTAATGGTCACTTTCCAAGAAAAGACAATAGAAAGAAGTTATTAACAAACTCAATTTAAATTTAAATAAATTTAACTTAACAAAATATCATTAAATTCTTCAAAGAAAAACTAAATACATATTTTTCAAATTGATCAAAACAGTTGAAAACAATATACGAAAGAAACAATTATATATTTTTGTTATACATGGTATGTTCCAAGACATGAATAGTATTATGATTAATATAATGAATCTCATATTAATATAAAACTCATAAAAGTAAAATTTGACTTCATTGAACCTACGTCTATAAAAAAAATTATAGGTCCGAAAAACAAAATTTTATTTGATTGAACATTAGTCTAGAAGTTTTATTTGGGACCTCGAAACTAAATCTAGACTTAATTAAATTTGAATCTAAAATTTTTAAACTTATTAAAGTTAGGGTAAATTACACTCACACTCCCTGATATTTGATTTTATTACACAGGCACTCCTTCACGTTTCAAAAATTACACTAAAACCCCATTAAATGAACGCAGTTAATTGCATAAACAAAAAGACCATTTTACCCTCACATTAACTACTGATACAGACCCAAGACCCAAGGACCATGTCCAGAGAGTTGATCATACTCTCTCTTTCTCGCAATGTGTCAGAACCCAATAACCTGTGATCTCTCTCTCTTTCTCATGACGTATTAGAGCGCCAACACCCAGAGGCGCAAGGCGCAGAGCCTTAGGATTAATTTTTCTCCTGGATGGTTTGTAATCATGTACAAAACAGACATATCCAAAAACTTTAGGACGAAAGAAAGCAGTAGAGGGGATGGAAGAAGACTCGGAAAGATACTCAATTGGTGACTTAAATTGAAGGACACTCGAGGGTAGACGATTAATAAGATAAGCAACGGTGAAAACCGCCTCCTCTAGAGAGATTGAGTAACATTCATAGTGAACAACATTTTTCTCTTTGCAACATCATTTTGTTCAGGGGTACTAATGCAAGTGGTCTGATATAGAATTCCATTCTCATTGAGGTAAGAACAAAAATCGCCATCAATATACTCATTTCTATTATCACTAAGAATAATTTTGACTTTGACATCAAATTGGGTATGCACTATTTTATGAAAAGATCTAAAACATGAGAAAACTTCACCTTTATTGCGTAGTAGGTAAACCCACGTGAGACAAGAATAACAATTAATAAAGGTAGCAATTAACGATAATCAGAAATAGACATAATAAGGAACGTCCCAACACATCGTAATGAATAATAACAAAAAGAGCAGTGTTTCTATTATTAGTAGTAGGATAAGATGAATGTTTATACTTGACAAATTCACAAGTATCACAAGCAAAAATTGTCTACTATACTAATTTACTAGACTAGGAAAAAGATGCTCTAAAATACCAAATGAGGGATGCCCCAAACGTCTGTACCACTAATGTAAGAATTAAACGGTTGAAATACTGTTTGCTTGGAGAGTTTGATAGGTAGGCTGAGAAGGAGCTTCAGCATCCAGGAGATACAAACCATCATGTGCTCTACCACTACCATCATTTTTGCTGACTCCAGTTCATGAAAGGTACAATGAGTAGGGAAGAAAGTTACTGAACAATTCAAGGATTTTGTAATACTACTAATAGACAATCAATTAGTAGAGAAATTGAGAATATGAAGAACATAAGAAAGAGATAAAGAAGGTGAACAATTAATTGAACCTCTCCCAGAAATAGAGGATAAGGATCCATCAACCACCTTAACTTTATCCTTACCAGAACATGTAGAATACGTAGAGAAAAGGCTAGAAGAACCTGTCATATGATCCATAGTTTCAGAATCTATATCCAAGAAGGACATGAGGATGATGTAGTAAATGCACTAACTGATATACTTGTATGAGCAAAATTGGAAGAAGAGGCTAGGGTAGAAGTGCAATAGAGACATCAAGTCGAGCCATTAGATGCCTAAGAGTCTGGATCTCATCCTGAGAGAAATTAGAGAGAGCAGATTGAGATGAAGTATCTAAAGAGTCAGTCATGTGTGCATGGGATCGAACATTACCTCTTCGACCACCACCTCGGCCATGTGTAGTACATTCAGTCAGCTTACAACAGAACTCTGTAGTATGGCTGGTCTTCCCACAATAATCACATTTTAAGGTATCTTTATGAATAGTGCCCCTTGTCTTAGTAGACTTGGGCAAGACTATACCCTAGTCAAGCCGAGGGATTATAATTAAAGTAGACTATTCTTGAGGAGGAGCATAAACCATAGCAATCCTTTGACTCTCATCGTGCTAAACATGGGCATAAGCGTCCTGTTAAGTGGGACCCAAAATTTGAACCCGAATTTGATTATACTCAATATTAGGGCCAACAAGAAAGTTATCATTGCCATAAAGTGGTCAACTCTGCATAATAAACTTCAAGTGTCTTATACATCTAATTTCCCGAACTTTCTTTTGCAGATCATATTCCTTAGCATCATTGCCTCATTAAGAACACATTTGAGATGCAGCAGTCCAAATCTTATGTGCCATATCAAGTGGCAAAAATCACGGTTGATAGATGGTTGCATTGAATTAAGCAACCAAGACATAATTAAAGCATTTTTAGATGTTCACTTCTTTAAGGAAGGATCAGACTCACTAGCTTCTTAGTATCTCTAGTCAAATACCGATCTAAAGATGTCGCTTGGATCGATAATAAACACGCTATCGACTATGCCAAACAGTTGTTCCCATCTTATTTTTCCGGGCTAATTTGGAGAGAACGGCTATTTGCTAGAGTACCCAAAAGGCTCACCCCATTGCCTCCGATACTTATCCCAACATTAGTAGATGTTGCACTACCTTTGGACATGTTTACCCAATAGAATCAACACAAAATAGCAAATAATCATAGAAAAATGCCACCAAAGGAGTAGCCAACTACTAGAAAATACCACGAACTATACCAAAAAAAGAGTAAGAAGATTGGAGAAACACAAACTAGAGGCTAAATAGGGCTCATCGACTGTGTAACAAAAGACCCAACACCAGAATAGTGTTGAATAAGCCTGTGGATAGTCCCAAAGGGACAAAAACACCTCACAAATCCAAGCAACACTTAACAATCAAGCCTGGGCATGCTACAATATACTTAGTCGCACCCTTCTAAAGGGTTTCGAACCAGAAATAACACCAGAAAAGCTCATAAATTGTGGATCGCAAGCCGAAACTCCAAAATTCTGAAAAACATTCGAAAAATCAAACGACTAAGCAAACAGCTTCACAAAATTCACGAAAATACCATAAATCTTGGAAGAGAATTTAGAGTCTCTCCTAAAACATCAGCAATTGACTCTGTTGAAGCTTTTCTGAACAATCTAATGGCTTCAATCTTTAAATCTTAGTTGATGCTCTGATACTAAGTTAAATTATTATGGCGTTAGGGTTTTAGAGAATACGAGGGAAGAAGAGATAAAGAGATTAGGAAAAAGTGTATATTGTATTAGGTTAAACAACTACACCAACATATATATAGTCATACATTGCAAAATACTAAACTAGTCCTATTCTATTATTAATGCATAACATAATACTATGTTTCCAGATGCTTCGACATGTTTCGATCAGTGTTTCTCAAACAAAATTCCAAGTTTTTCTTTCTTTCTTTCCATCCTGTTTCTGCAAAACATTTCCAAAAATGTTTCGGTTTCCAAGCTGATTGAAATTATGCATCGAAACAAATTTTGATCCTTGACTTGGAATTTAATTATTTGGCAGATTATCTATGTTAATTGATTCCTCATTTGCTTACATGCAGAATGTCTTGCATTGGCACATTGTAGATTCCCAATCTTTCCCTTTAGAGATACCTTCATATCCAAAACTGTGGGATGGTGCTTATTCTATATCAGAACGATACACGATGGCTGATGCTGCTGAAATTGTGACGCAAGTGATTTCGAACTTGTTTTTGGCAGTTATCTACCTCCTTATATTAGGTTTCCTAATCTTTTAAAAATCAATTTTTGCAGTTATGCTCAAAGACGAGGGATCAATGTATTGGCTGAGATTGATGTTCCAGGACACGCTCTCTCCTGGTAGTTATGACTATTTCAAACCTTACTTTGATTTTAAGGTTGCCTTTTCACCCATATTAAGGACAATACATTTGCTTAACGAATTGTTTTAAACTGCCTTAAACTTTTCTATTGAATAACAAATGCGAGAATTCTATTTTGAACTGTTACGTGCTATATGAACACGAGTTCGCCACTTGCTAATTATTTGTGACAAATGTGATTCACACCCTGGTAAAATTAAGGAGGCTTGTAAATTCATCTAGCCTGACATAAGGAAAAGACCTATACTGATATAGGGAATGGCGCTGAAGTATTTTGCAACCCCTAATTAAATAGAAAAGCTTATGACTTCAGAAGATTTTCAGACCATGGCACCATAGGTTTGTAAAAGAACCGTTGATATAGGGGGCAATAAAAAGTTAGATCAAAAGACTGAAAGGAACAATCACACAACGCAAACACTTAAACACACACGAGAGTTGCATAGTTTATTACTAAGGCATTTGTCTTAGTAAAAGATGATTGAGAAGATTCATGAGAATTAAACGATTTGGAACTCTTGCATAAGAAAAAGGCTCTTGTAATCAAAACTTAGGATTATCCTCACAGCAATGACAACGGCAGAAATCTTTGCCTGTCATTTTGCATTAGCTAGCTTGTAAAAGATGAAGGCATTATTTGTTAGTAAGCACCCCACCACCTAAAGTAAGAAGTCATTTTGTTATTACCTAGCTTATGAAATTGAAAAAAATTCTTTCTTCCTTCTCTACATCCAAGTTACATTTCCATGGGATGAGCCTGCTTGGCAGTCAATCCTTTTATCTATCAACAGAAGCGAAAATCATTCTTGTTCAGGATAGGTTTCCTGTAGAGGGGGTTAGATTTCGAATAGAATGCATAAACAGGGGTTGTTCCCTGATGTTTGATTGCCTTTTAATGGATTTTTGCCTTTCTATAATAATAAAAAACAATTCCGTACTCTTTCAGAGTATTTCGGAGCCTGGAACATTATACAGTTAAAAGTTATTTTTCCTATCCAGTTGGTGTCAGTTTGCTTTGTTATCTTCTGTATTTGTGGGGTTGGAGACATTGTGCTGGATGATTTGGGGCTTAATTTATACAAATAGGCATACCAGAAAAGGTCCTAGACTTAGTTTGGTGGAGGTGTAACTGGAATCTGTTTAAGGATCGGTTTCAAGGGGCAAACTCAGAAGTTTTAGTGGAATTTATACACACTCCATATAAGCATGGAGTACAGGACCCAAATTTTCACAATTTTTTCTTGGTGATGACATTTCCACGAATTTTAATGTCTTTTCCTTTCAAAATAATTTTGAGAATGTCAAATCCCTGCAATGCAGAACTTCAATATATTGCAAAAAAAAAAAAAAACTTTTTAATGGCTATTGCAAACAGTAGTCTTGGTGTTAACAGTATTTTATTTTAGGGGAACTGGCTATCCTTCCTTATGGCCGTCAACAGACTGCAAGGAACCACTTGATGTTAGCAATGAGTTCACATTCAACGTAATAGATGGGATTCTTTCAGGTGATGTCATTTCCTAATGGAATCATGTCACCTCTAATTTGGTGATAAAGAAATAAGAAACAGATAAAATTCTTGAAATTTCTCATGTTTCAGATTTCAGTAAGGTCTTCAAATATAGATTTGTGCACTTGGGAGGCGATGAAGTCAATACAAGTAAGTAGAATTAATATATCTATTCTGGCATTTTATTCATTGGATGATATTTTGGAAGTTGACCCTGAGGACCCAGTGTCTTTCCAGTACTTAAAGCCATCTAACGTTTTTGTAGGCTGGCAAATATTTGATGAATATAATTGTCAAAGTTTCCTGGATATGTAAAAATGGAGATTTTTTATTAACTTGCCAAAAGGAGAAAAAAATGCATAAGCATTTTATGCAGGTTGCCAACAGTTAGACATTGGGTTCTACTAAAAAATTCTCAACACAAAATTTGGTTGAAAATCTCTTTAACTGACCTATTTGATCTCTTGCCATACACATTGCATCAATTGCATGAAGAAAAATACATTTGAGTTGCTTGATACGTAAGTCTCCCGACTAATTCAACATCAGCATATGATCCCTTACATAAACATGTCATCGTGGGAGGGCATAGACTCCTTGCAACTTTGCACTTTTTTATGATTGGTGCCTGTGTCAATAACTTAGTAAGCACTTTTGCTTATGTATATAGTTTCCTTCACTTATTACGTACTTAACAACGGAATGATGATGTTCACCAACACATACAATTGGATTTTCGATTTCAGGTTGCTGGGTGATAACGGCCCATGTGAAGAACTGGTAAGAATCTAACGATCCTATTTCCAAATTCCCTGCACTTTGAAGTAGAACTACTGTGTATATATATATATATATATATTATGAGTATACTTGGCTGGTTGACTTTCTTGATTGTACTGCAAGTAACCTTTACTATTGGTAGAGTATATGGGCGAAGTCACAGGAACTGCAGTTTGTGTGTAGATTTAAACAGATTTGATAGAGTCTTAATATAAATATTTGTGGGCTGTGGAGCTTGTGTTGAGTTGATATACCTACATTGCTTCCATGTATCACTTAGTTTTTCTTCACCATTTTGTGTGTCCAATTACATGGCATACTTTTGTTATTCTCACTTACGTCCTGGTTAATGTTTTTTTCCAAATCAAAAAAGAACCACATGCTTCCATTCATGCAAAAATACAATAATGGTGACAAAAAACTTGTGACATATATCATTTCAATTAAATGATAAAATTTTAATTTTAGAAACAAGTTCGACACTTTTTTGGTGACATATCTGATACTTCTTTAGACTATTTTTAAGCTTTGTGGTTAACAAAGCTTAAAAATTTGACTAATAAATACTTGAGACTATGAGAGAACATATAATTACCTAGACTAGAAATGTTAAAGTTGTAACTAAAATACAATAATAAAACTAAAAGATGAATAAAAGTTTTTAAAAAATAGGAATTGAGAAAATAAGAGCGGTCATTCAAATTATATATATTGGACACATTGTTTACAAAAAAATTGATAATTATTGACTATTATGATGTTTTAGTCTAAAAAATCACACTAGATGACTAAACATAACATTTACTTATTGTAAAGTAATAATTTTTTTTTTATGAATAGTATGTTATCACTATATTTGCGACATATTTTATAATTTTATATATAAAATAAAATTATTTGTCCAGTCTCCTGAACATGTCTGTGTTCTACTTTTTTGATAAATGATGTGTCTATGTGTCCACGTCGTGTCGTATTCATATCCTGTGTTCATGTGCTTCTTAGGGTCACCCAGGTTGTTGAGGGAACTATTGTCTAAGTTGTAAGTAAGACAAAGACTCCATATTGTACTCAAAAGGAAATCAATTTTTTGTGTCGCAACTAACTATATCCACTTTAAGAAGCCGATCAATCTTTCTAGAACTTTTGACACAAACAAAGAGGAGTCAATGAAGAATAGATTTTCAAATACCAGTTGAAGACCAAGAAAGGGCCATCCATGGCTATATATAATATCTATTAGGCTTGTGTGGTTGGTTGATTGGACACATCTTTCCTACTTTCTTTAGGAATACATGCTCGATACATTGGGGAGAAATGAACGGAGAGATTGATAAGGATTGGTTCACACATTTGACTTTCATAGTGTTCTATTCTTGCATTTTATAATGGCCTTGGCCTAGTTGAATATACTACATAAATGTTGAATGACAACAATCCGATAACTTGACAAAGCCTTCCAGTTATTAGCCATTGCCTTTCGTGATTACTATATACCGGTGGCTGATTGTACAAGACTACAAACTGTGAAAGGTATGACTCCATCTATCATGAATACTATTACCAACAAATCACCGCGCACAATTCACAACTCTTTCAAGCATCTAAAACTATAACTTGGAAAAATTACCCCTCCCCCGTAGAGCCAACAAAAAAAAAAAAGAAAAATAAAGTATTGGTGTATCATAATATATTTATAGAGTCAGTAGAAAATCAAAGTGACAGAATATCGGTTGTTTTGTAAGAATGTCCTGTTAGTAGAAGAGGATAGATCTCAACATGCTTGGTTTGCTTGTTGAAAAAGAGATTACACAGGAGTCAATTTATCACAAGGAGAAAGGTAAGTATTGAAATGAAATTCTGAAGATACTGAACCCAAATAATTTTTTTAGTTGCAGATAGGGGTGTCAACATATAATACAACCCATTAACACGACACGAAATTAGAGATTTTGGATATTTTTTAAGTCACATATTTTGTAAATAAGTGGACCCGACACGACATGACACGATTGATAAACGAATCGGGTGTGGGTGAAATCAATCAAAAGAAATGTATGACACGACTCGTTTATATACCGGTTATATATAATTTATACACGATACAAACCTGATATGACACGATTCGGTAGACATGAACTAATAAACAAATCAAGTATCGGTGAAATATTTTTTGATACGAAACTACTAAGACTAGACATGAATCCACCACACTCGATACGATTGACAGGCCTAGTTACAACCACCATGGTATGATACACTACTTTAGCATTGGATCAAGTTAGTCAGTTTTTTGTTTTCCCATTAATTTGAGAACCTTGAATAAATTAGGCTCATCAAGGGTTGTAATTTAGATCCCTACAAGTATTAGCCTCAGTAATTGAAGGCTGAGGAAACAAATAAGAACATACTAAGGGAGGTAATGGGGTGACAGTAAGAAAGAGTGACAACATTCAAAATATGAGACTGTCAGTGGTCGGTGGAGGAAGAGGCACTAGTGGAGAAGGGAGATCAGAATTCAAAGGACTCCTTTCCCAGTAATACGACGAGAAACATAAGTAATTTTGCCAAAGGATCATAGCAAAGGACTCCCTCAAGTTTCAGGCTAGTGTAGTTTTCTTTGGCTCATTTCCCACTCAGAAACATGGATCCTAAGGCAGATCATGATCCTCTGACTTCTGATAATGCCCCCATGATCTCTGTTCCTCCACTAAATTACTCCATTGCATCTTTCTTTAATGCTCCTATAACTTTTGTCAAATTAAATGAGAGTAATTATGTACTGTGGGAGAGATCTATTGATGTTTTTTTTAAGGGTAAAGGTCTTCGTAGGCACTTGGTGTAATCTAATAGGTACTAGAATTCATTAAATCTCACACAACCCATGATCTGGGTACATCGATCACCAAAATGTACAATCTCAAATTTTATATGTAGCATAAATATAAAATAAATATTAATTGACGATGTATATATAGGTTTATAATTATATATTATTGTAGATAATAAAAAATCGAGTACAAATATAAGATAAATGGTAATTAATTTAGTGTTTATGAATATTCTATGATATATAAAGTTGTATAGTGGTGAAAACGATCTAAATAAAAGTTTCAAAATCAATTGCGACGTAAAATACCATATCAGTTAAGCTTACCCTCATCATACCGCATACCTAAGAAAATGTCGTAATACGTACCTGTACCCGTATCACGTACAAATGTAAGATAAATGATAATTGACTTAGTGTTTATGGATGTTCTATGACATATAATATTGTATAGTGGTGAAAACGATTTAGATAAGAGTTCTAAAACAAATTGTGATCCAAAATACCTTACTAGCTAAGCTTATCCCTACCGCGTACCTAAGAAAGTGTCGTAATGCATACCCGTACTGTATCACCTACCAAAACGACCAACGATACATGTAATATTTCTAAGCCCAAAGACACTGAATTTGGTTTTGCCCAATGGGAATAGGAAGATGCACAAATTATAGTATTGAGCCTCACATCTGTTGGGTATTGGAAGCAAATTAGGTCACCAAAAAACACAAAAACAAGACCCAAATACAAGAAAAACAGTGGTTGAAAGTTCTGCTACAGAATATCACAAATTGCAATACAAAATCAAGCTTAAACCGGGACAAAAAATCTGCTGCAATAAACCACACAAATTTCACTCCAAAACAACACTATATTTAATTGAAAATTCAGTATAACATGAACCAATTACAAGGGGAAACAGATCTGAAATTTCAGCAACAAATACACAAAAAATCACCTTTCAAAACTCACAAATGGAGCTTCAGCTCTGGAGACGGTTGCTGCATTTTTCTCCTGCAGCAACACAGATTTCTTCTCTTTCTTTTCTGTTGAAAACCACTCTTTTTCTTCTCTGATGTTCTGCCGAAAAACCTCTATGTTTGGGCCGCAGCTCCTTGCCTTTTATATCTCTGATTTCCAGCAACAAACTGATTTCAGTGGCAGCCTTGTCGATTCCTTCTTCCAGCAAAAATCAGCCCGCATTCGACACCATGAATCACCACCGACTCAGCAAGTGGCTGCCCTTTCCCAACGTTCAACAGATGGCCTTTCAATGCTACTAAAAGACTTTAATATAAAACCACTAATTGCTGCCACAGTCTCCAACTAATAGATATTAAATAACAACTCAAAAGTAATATACCAAAACTAACCATTAGAGAATTGGGTTTAAAAACTAACAACATCAGTTCCTCTTTACTTTATCTAGATACTGCCAAGGAGATTTACGATCGGTTGACTCACATGTACTCTAGCACTAGTAATATCACAGGCATTTATGAGGTATACAGGTAGTATTTTAGTCTTGAACGGGGTAGCTTGACTATTTAAGAGTACTTTTCTAAGGTCATGGGAATATGTGAAGAACGTAAGGTGTATCAGCCTATCACATTTGATGTCTCTCAGATGGAACAACAACATGATGATGTTGATGTTGTTCGTTTTTTATTGGGTTGAGATCAGAGTATGAGCCTATTCATGCACAAATTTTGGGTAGTTCGTTACTTCCTTCTCTTCTAGATGTGTTTTCTCATCTCCAACATGTTACCTTGCTCGATTCTAGATCCTAGGCGAGTACTAATCACAACAGTGATCGATAAGCTTTAGTTGGTGTATCTAGTAATTCTTGTGGCATACGTGGCATATCTGGTAATTCTCGTGGCAGACGTGGTGGTAAAGGTGGTTGTGATACTCGTAAGTGTACTCATTGTGGTTGTAGCAACCATACAGTGGAGTATTGTTGTGGTTGATATGGTAAACCACCTGCTTCAGCTCATCAGGGTTCTTCTAGGATGATGTTTTGTCATCTGGCCCTAATCAGTCTATTACTAATGACCTTATTACTATTTGACAAGATGAGTGCTCAGTTCATGTCACAGAAACAGGCACTGACCTCCTCTATTGCTACTTTTGCTCAGTAAGGTACAACGTCTGCTTGTTTATTGTCTTCTACTTTCAGTCCGTGGATCATTGATTTTGGAGCCTCAGATCATATGACCGATTCTTCTAGTCAATTATCTCACTTTCACTCTGTAGCCCCATTTCACAGTGTTATACTTGCCTAATGGGTGCTCATCACAAATTTCAAGTTTGGTTAGTATACAACTTAGTCATTCTCTATCGTTGTCTTTTGTCATACTTATTCCCTAGTTCCCCTTTAGTTTGTCATCTATAAGTAAGATTACTTGTTCTCTTAACTGTTTAGTAACATTTTATCCATCTTTTGTGCCTTCAAGATCTCAAGATGAAAAAGAAGATTGGTACGGGGTGTGAATCTGATGGTCTCTAGTTCTTTGACTTTGAGCCCCCTCACAGAGCATTACACACCTCCTTATCTCCAATTCAGTGGCCCTATTGTCTTGGATATCCATCCCTTTTTGTTTTGAAGTCTCAAGTTTCTAGTATGAGTAATTTGTTGTCTTTGTCTTGTGAGGCATGTCAACTTAGTAGCGCCATCGTGTACCTTTTAAATCTAGGCTTGATAATCGTGTTCTAGTGTTTTTGAATTAGTTCATTTTAATGTATGGGGTCCCCGTGGAGATCCATCTAGTAATGAATATTGTTATTTTGTTACGTTTGTTGATGATCATTCTCGTATTACCTCATTGTTTTTAATGAACTCTCACTCATAATTATTCTTCATTTGTCAGTTGTTTCATAAGCAAATTAAGACCCAATTTGATTATAATATTTATATTTTACGGTTTGACAATGCCAAATAATATATGTCTAATCCGTTCACGCTTTCTTCCAATGGAAAGGGATTATATGTCAGACATCTTATGTTCATTCAACTCAGCAAAATGGAATAGCTGAGCGAAAGGTATTACTCGTGCTCTCATGTTTCCTATACATGTTCCTCACCGTTTTTGGGGTGAAGCTGTTTTGACCGCATGCTATAATATTAACAGTTTTCCCTCTACGGTTTTACTTGAGTCCTCTCTCCACTTTGTATTGTTTCCTCAGGCTCCTTTGTTCTCTATTCCTCCCAAAGTATTTGGATATTTTTGTTATGTCCACAATCTTAGTCTGGGGTTTGGTAAACTTGATTCACGCACTATCAAGTGTATCTTTCTTGGTTATTCTTGCATCCGAAAAGGTTATCGTTGTTATAGTCAATTTCTTCGCCGATACTTTATTTGTGTGCTAATATTACTTTATGGGAATCTATCCTTATTTCTGTGCACCACCTATTCCTCTTACTTGTGCCCCTGAGTCGTCTCCCTTAGTAGTTTTACTTCCTCTGCCAGCTCATGTTCCAATTTCCTGATCTCCTGAGTCATCTTCTATGTCAGTGTCTCCTTCCGTATCTTCCACCACGCTCTTAGAGGTTTACTCTCATCGATCGAGGCCGTCTATATCAGATTCAATTCCACCACCCACTAGCTTCCTCATTGTCTTTGAATCCGACTACTTCAGATCCCTTAGACTCTTTACTAATTGATCTTAGGTACTCATTCTTGTGTTACTAACCATCGTATTGGTAACTTTGTTTCCTCTCGTTCATTATCTCCTTTATTTTCTTGTTTTACCTATCTACTTTGTCTGTTCCTAAGGCTGTCTCAACTGTATTATCTGATCCACGTTGGCGTTAAGCATTCCATGACAAACATACTTGGAATCTTGTTTCCTTGCCACCTGGTAGGGCGGAATGTTGGATGTCACTTGGTCTACACCATTAAATTTCATCTGAATGGTTCTGTAGATCACTTCAAAGCTTATCTGGTTGCTAAAGGTTACACTCAGATGTAGGTTTTGACTATGCTGAGCCTTTCTCTCTAGTAGCTAAGATATCTTTTATTCGGGTTTTGATATCTTTTGATGGTAATCTTGATTGACCTTTATTTCAGTTAGATGTGAAGAATACTTTCTTACATGGTAATTTAGCATAAAGAGTCTATATGGAGCAACCACCTGGCTAGGAAGTGCAGACACTTCATTTTGATGATGAATGTGCATTAGTATATCTTATATTGTATTTTCTATGCGGTAATGTAATGATTTGAATTTTTAAAATTAGGAAAATGATGAGTTGAAAGATTATTATGAAAGTATATTTATTTTATCATGTGATTATATGTATATATAATGTTAGAATTGATCAATGAGAATAGAGAAGAGAAAAAGAGAATAGATTATTCATAAAGGAAGTTTGTAATACATAGTTTGACCTAGAAATACACAAAATAACCCTTATATAGTAGGGCAACACAACATAAAGAAATTACCTAAACTACCCTTATTATGAATACTCTAACACCCTCTCTCAAACTCATGATGTAGAAAACATCTAAGAATTTGCCAAGAAGAAATCTAAAACATGCTATGGTATGAGACTTCGTAAAAAAATCCGCTATCTGTATTGTGGAAGGAAGAAAGGAGAGAGTGATGGTGCCCCGCTGCAGATAATGACGCACAAAGTGACAATCAATCTCAATGTATTTTGTGCGCTCGTGGAAGACTGAGTTATGAGCAATCTGAATAGCATTGGTGTTGTCGCAGAACATAGGAGTAGGAGATGATACCGAAATGCCAAAATCAGCAAGGAGCCATCGTAACCAAACTATCTTAGCTGTAGAAGATGCCATAGCACGATACTCAGCTTCAGCAGAAGAACAAGCAACAATAGTTTGTTTCTTGCTTTTCCAGGAAATAAGAGAATCCCCAAGAAACAAGCAGAAACCAGTGGTGGACTTGCGATCCATAGAATTACTAGCCCAGTCAGTATCAGAGTAAGCCCTGAGTTCCATAGATGAAGAGTGAGAAAAGAGTAAACTCTGATATAGAGTACCACGGAGATACCGAATAATGCGAAGAACAGCAGCCTAGTAAACTGTGGTGGGTGAGGTAACAAATTGACTCATAATGTAAATAACATAAGAGATATTTGGACGAGTGACTGTAAGATATACTAAACTCCCAATAATAGTCCGATAGAGGGTTGGGTCAGATAAGGGAATACCGTCAGACGAAGAGTAACGAACATTGAGCTCTACAGGTGTCTCAACTGTCCGATTATCTGATAAACGAGCTCGTTTAATAACATCTGAAGCATACTTAAATTGAGAGAGAAGATACCCTTTAGTAGAGGAAACAATCTTAATACCTAAGAAATATCTAGGCTGTCCCAAATCTTTCATCTCAAAATGGTTTTGCAACTGGGTTTTCAAAAAGCAGATGCCAGCAGTGTCATTATCCGTAATAATCATATCATCAACATATAGTAAGAGAATAATAGAACCTGAGGAAGTAGACCGTAAAAAGAAAGCAGAATCATGGTCATTGGCATGAAAACCCAAGTTACAGATAATCAAAGAAAATTTGGCAAACCATGCTCTGGGTGCCTATTTAAGACCATATAAGGTACGATGAAGTCGACATACTTGACCAAAGCTATAAGATAATCCAGGGGGAGGTGTCATAAAAACCTCTTCAGTCAAATCTCCATGTAGAAATGTATTTTTCACATCCATTTGAAATAAATTCCATTGTCGAATGGCAGCAATTGCAATCACGGTGTGAACAATAGTTATCTTGGCAACAGGAGCAAAAGTCTCATCATAATCTAGACCATAATCCTGAACAAACCCCTTGGCTACTAATCGAGCTTTATATCGTTCCACAGAACCATCTGACTTGATTTTTATCTTATAAACCCATTTACAACTAATGGTGCGTTTACCAGGCGGTAAAGACACTAGCTTCCAGGCTCTGGTCTTATGTAAGGCGGACAACTCCTCATCCATAGCCTGTTTCCAAAGTGGATCAAGTAATGCCTCCTTGTAGGAGGAGGGTTCAGATAGAGAATGAATAGAAGTAAGGAAAGAACAAAAGTCAGAAGAATAACAAGTATTACTCCAACCAAATCTGTCTGGACATTTGCGAGAGCGCTGAAAATAGCGTGGGGTATGATCCACAATGTCTGAACCTGATTGGGTGGTCGGAGAAGAAAGGGGAGGCACTGCATCTAGAGAAGAGATAATTGGAGTCCTACGAATATATGTATGCATAATAGGGGGACGAGTAATAGTCGACTCAGAAGATGAAGGATCTGACACAAATATATCATCAGCATATGTATCATGAGGAACATTGGTA